CTGGCAAGGTGGTCGTGTTGGAGAGCCCCCGTTCTGAGGCCAAGCCGAAGCATAAGCCGCCTAAACCTGGCAAGGTGGCCGTGTTGGAGAGCCCCCGTTCTGAGGCCAAGCCGAAGCACAAGTCATCTAAGCCCGGGAAGGCCGCACTGGATTGGCCCAGAGACGCGGAGGTCACCCCGAAGCATAAGCCCCCTAAACCTGGCAAGGTGGCTGTGCTGGAGAGCGCCCGCTCTGAGGCCAACCCGAAGCATAAGCCGCCTAAGCCTGGCAAGGTGACCGTGTTGGAGAGCCCCCGTTCGGCCAAGCCGAAGCACAAGCCGCCTAAACCTGGCAAGGTGGCCGTGTTGGAGAGCCCCAGAGATGTCAAGACGAAGCACAAGCCGCCGAAGCCTTCAAAGAGCCGAACATCGTCGGTTGTGCTGACGTCGCCGGGTTCGCACAACGCGCTGCCGCCGTCCTCTAGTCTGGTGTCGCGGCCCTCGGCGCTGGACGGGCGGTCCTCGGCGCTGGAAGGGCGGCCGTCGATGGCGTTGTTGGCGCCGCCGGCGGGTGCGAAGCCTGCGGCAGGCTTGCTGGAAGACCACTTTGCGAGTGGGTATCAGGAGCCGGTGGATTTGAGTTTTCTGCCGGACTCCGAGCAATGGCTGGACTTGCCACATTACGCATTGCAATGCTTGTTGGATTTGGATGTGAAGGTGAAGCAGTTGCATTCGTTATCTCGGAGTTTCGATACATGGACGTTGTCGAGTTTCCGATACCTCGGTTCGAATGAGGCGTTGACGGAGGACTTTTATACGTCGGGTGCTATGGCGTTGCTGGAGCGCGGGATGACGCGGTACCCCGTGCGGGTGCCGTACACGTCGTTTTGTCGGCTCTTTTCGGCGTTGGTACCGGAGGCCTTGCGAGGCGTCCTACAGTTGTGCGGGCCGCCACCGAAGCTGGGTCGGACGAATGGTGGTTGCGAGGAGTCGCCGGATTCGTTGGTGGACGCGGCAGATCCGGCTTTGGTGGATGTGTGCAAGAAGGCGACGCAGAAGGTGTTGAGTGACGTGTATGGGTTGAGTCAGTTTGAATACCAGTTCGGTTCGACGTTGTTGTTTCTGCAGCACCGCACATGGTTGCTGTTGTTAGCGCATAGTACGCACTTGGTGAACGCGGCGAATGGACAGGACCTTGCGAAGGTGCGGCGCGCCGTTCAGACGGTGGTGGACCGCGCCAAGTTTCTGCGGCTGAAGCACCTCGTGTGTAGGCTCCAGGCGCGTTGGAGACTACGGTTGCACGAACGGCGGATGGGTTCGAACCGGTCCCTGTTCTTCCCGCTCTTTTTGGGCATCCTCAAGACGGCATATTTGTTGGTACCCTACGTGGGCATCAGCAACGTGATTGAGAATCGGCGCGTGCCGTTCAAGCACGGGAGCAAGCCAAGCCTGGGCCAATTCCAGGCGGGCGCGGCGACGACGATCCAGACATGGTGGCGCGGCGTGTTGGCGCAGCGTGAGTTGCGGCGGCTGAAGGAGGCACGCGTGTACGCGTCGGCCGCACAGTTTCTGCAGGGTCTGGCGCGCACGTTGTTGGCGACTGGTGCGATGTACGGGAATGCGATGGGTGGCCGGTTCATCAGCGTTTGGGAAGAGGACCTGAACCGTTCGATCGTGAAGATCCAGCGTTCGTGGCGCATGTTCGGCGACCCGCGAGTGCGTGAGTTCGTACGGATGCGGAACGGCTTACGTGCGCTGGTGTTGCCTGTGCAGCGAGTGGCGAGCCGATTGGTGTTTGCGTTGGCGGCCTCGGCCAAGTGGCACGCACGGCACTTGGCTGAGGCGGGTGTGGAGGACGCGTTGCGCCGCAGTCTGAAGGACAATTTGTTGTTGCGGGCGGAGAACTTCCGGGCGGCGGTCAAGATCCAGGCTTGCTGGCGCGGTTGTTTCGTGCGACGCCAGTTCCGTGCACTGCGCGAGGCCTGTCAGGTGGCGCAGACCTTTATGAAGACCCAGCTTGCGCGACGGCGGCTGGTAGGCGCGAGGCGCGCGGCGACGAAGCTGCAGCGTTGGTGGCGTGCGTTATTGCAGTTGCGCGCACGGGGTCTGTCGCGTGCGGCGCGTGAGGCACCGGCGGCCCCGGCCGACGCGCTGGTCGTGGTTTGGATCAATGCATTATTGCACGCAATCAACTTGCCCGTGCACGCGGCGACCGGTCGACGTCGGAGTTTGCGCACCAGTGCGGCGGAGCTCGAGGCTCAGGTCCAGGCGTCGCTGCGCGCGACGGAGCTTTGCCACAAGGGCTTCACGGCGCTCTTCGATGAACAC